AACACAGACCAGGACAGGGAACTGCACACACTGAGCCCTCACTGTGTTTATATCAAGCTTTCAATATTTTTTTTTCCCCAGTTTCAAGTCTTTCTGGAAAGGCAGGCACATCACTCAGCCATGAAGGCATCACAGATACTGACTTCCCTTTGGAAAAACAGCAGCTTGATCTTTGAGATGATGCAGATGAAATGAAAACCTTTCTAAAAGCTGGAGTACCATGATGTGACCATGGTGCTCTGATGGGAAATGAACTAACCTGCAGACATTTGCATGAAGAAGTAAAAATGAGTTGCTGGTGCTAGGGCCAGAATAGCCTTCCCTGTGCTCCTCCACACCAGTGGGGTTTAGTGTGGTTAACTGGGTCACTGACTTCCATAAAAACAGGTGGGATGCTACACAGCTCCACTTCTGCAGACCAAACTAGATCAGAGCATGCTCAGGGTTTTACCAACACACACTGTGACAGCACAAACATCCAGGAGAGCTGTGTATCCCTCTAGGAAGGACCTAGGGTTCAAAAGGGGAATGGAGGAAGGCTCCTTGATATGGGGGGAAACACATGCTTGGGATGCAGATCAAGACACCAGACTGTCTCCTTCCTTCAGGAATCTGGAGATGGGCCTGGAAAGGAAAAGTCAAGCAAGTTTCCCCTGAAATGATGAAGCCTGTGGGGCTTCAGTCATAAAGCAGCAGCAAGAAAGTGTGATTACAACCTATCATTTCTTGGCTTACCAGTATCTAAGCAGCAATAATATGTCTATCAACATGAGAATAGGACCCCTTGAATAAAATCCAAACCTTTGTCATTAGGGACAAAGCACTGCAATGCTACTGAACACCAAAAAGCTCAGAGGAGAACACTTGAAATGCTTCATTTGCCTTATGCCCACGTGCAAAGTCATAACTAAAGGAGTTCAGGTTCAAAAAACAATATGGAATAATAATATGCATTTCACAGCCTCATGTGCTCACCTTCCCATCATAGCGTTTCACTATGAACTGGTCCAGGCCCAGGTCTGAAAGAGAAAAAAGATACTTTAAAAAAACACACCCTCTTTGGAGTGTAAAAGTAAACCTTCCTGGGGTTTTGAGTGGGGATTAGGGAGCAAAATGCACTTTCTGAATAACATCAGCAGAAAGTCTAAGGCCAGGAGGCAGATGTTTTGGCTTCGTGCTTTTAACACTTGGTATTTTGATCCTGCAAGATTGTGGCATCACAGAAGAAAACCTCTTCCTAGCAGAGAGCAGAAGCACAGCTCCTAGCACCTCTCAAGAGCCTGAAATAACCACCCCAAGTTAGATGTTACCAGGCCAGTATTTTGTCCATAAATGTTCACAAAACTCTTTGTTTCTCTCAACACCTTTCAAATGGCTCACAAATGGGAAAACAAAAGGATCATTCCCAAAATTAACTGGGATATTCACAAATAAATCCAGAACTCGTCCACCTCTTAGTATAAAATGGCTCACAAATAGATTTTTCAAGGGGATAAGTTGTAGCTGCATTTGTTAGGTGTCTTCTTCAGCTAGAAGGGCATTTTAGAAGAAGGCAGGGAGAGAGGTTATTTATACCAGCAAATTCCATCTCATACCATCACCAAGTGCTTTTTTTCCTGTCTTGAACTGCTAAAAAACAAACCCAGTAGTTGCAGAGTTCAAGGCACAGAGCTCTCCATCTAATCCTTGATGCCTGTCAGGCTATAGGAACACTGATGAATGCACATGCAAGCAAGATGACAAAAATATTCAAGAAGATGAATTATCTGAGCTTTGTAACCCAAAGTCAGGAAGATGAACATTGAGGAGAGATGAAGCAGAACTCTAAGCAAGCACTTCCAGTCATTGGAGAGCAGCATAAGCTGATTTTTGGGTTCTCTGAAGAGTGAAACCCCCTCAGCAGATCCAAATCCTGTGCATTTTCTGCCACTGTTTAAGATAATTATCACATCCTCATTTCAATTTCAATGAGAGAAAAGATGGAAAAGACAAAATAAAACCTCCCCCATGCCTGCTGCATCTCTTTGTGAAGAAGGGTAATGAAACTCTTCCTGGCTACTGGAAAGGCTCCTCATGGTTATGGTGCAGAAGATGGAGATATTCATTGCTCCAGGGTGACCTTCTCAACCTTTCTGAACCAAAGCAGCTCAAACCCCACCTAGAACTCTGCCCTCACCCATTTCAAAGGTCAAGACAATTATCAGAGGGCTGTCTCGGTTTGTGAATATTCAAACCAGAAAGCTCCTTCTCAGTGTTCTCTGCACTTGACAGAATCCAAATTGCATATTTATAGACATTCTCAGGCTTTAATCACCTGAATTGCTCAGAAAACCTGTGGAAGCCCCCTCTATGGGGTGTTGAAGGGCAGGTTGGATGGGGCTTGGAGCAACCTGGGCTGGTGGGAGGTGTCCCTGCCCATGCAGGGGGCTGGAACTGGATGGTCTTTAAGGTCCCTTCCAAACTAAACTAGTCTGGGATTCTGTGAATTTTGTCCTCCTTGAAGTTGTGGCTACAAATGCAGTAAAATAAATATTGTCACATGGAGAGCCAGGATTCATTTAAATGTCCTTACATTACCAGAGGCACATTATCTGGTCAGAGCTCCCCCCTGACCATCCATCTGGGTGCCAGCTGTGACAATGAGCTTCAGCTTATGCCCATGCCTTGTAATAAAGTCATTTCTCAAGAGCACCTCATGTTCCCAGGCCAGGAAATGGTGCTGCAGGACATATCCCTGACAGCCCAACATTACACATGGACTTATGGAAAGCTAAACAAGGACACAGGCTAAAAATAGCAAGTGAAAGTATGTCTTAATGCACCCCTCCCAGCTGGACACCACTATTGGGAAAGGAAACAGATTTCACAGAAGACCCAAAATGAATGGGTGCTCGTGGACATGAACAGCAATAAAAGATGAACTGACAACTGTTTTCTTTTATATAGAAAGGATCATATATATTTGAAAAGAGACTATTTATATACTAGATAATTGTAATATATAGGACTGTGTATGTACATCTAGAAAAGCTACTAAAACCAGCCAAATTACACCTAAACCAGCAGAACATCAGTATCTCTACTAACAAAATGAGTATTATTAACTTCATGCCCCCCCCCAGATGTAACATATGTGGGGACACACAGAAGAGATGGGGGTTGCGACTGGAGGGTACTAAAAAGTACCAGGAGAGTTAACAGTAACGAGTTACAATAACGATGGAGTCAGCAAAGGAAGACAGTGGTGAAATCAGGAGTCTTGAGCAGAGAGTAGTTTGCCTCCAAGCTGAGGTTTGGTTCAGCCCCATTCACCTGAGCATGGAGATGTTTGTTTCCACCGTGTTTCCTCAATTGCTGTGGCACAAAATGAAAAGGCATGGAAAAGAAAAAGCAGCATCTGGGCAACCTGAGACTATTCCTGTGAGGGACAGAGTGAACAGACCTTGACTTACACACAGCTTTTCCTATATCCAAACCCTTATGTCAGGTGTAGAAGCTGCCAGGTCTGCCCTCAAGCTTCAGAGCTCCAAGCATTTCATCATCTACTGGAGGAAGTGCATACACCACCACAGCAGTGACAGAACTGCTGTCACCACCACCATCATGTCACCTTCCTGTGACACAACTGTATCCCACAAGAAGCAAATCCATGACCTTGGTTTAGACATGTCTGGGAGACCAGGGAGACACATTGACATGAAAATGAACTGCAGAAAGTGTCACTTGTGCCTTTTTTCTTCATGTCCCTGCAGCAGCACATCCCAGACAATGTCAACTCCTGCAAGCACCAGCATCTTGCTTCACACCAGTGTCTCATGCCCACCCTTTGTCCCACCACCCACAATATCCCCCCTGCTCTGCTGCATTAACCAACCTGCACACTTAAGTCCTCTATGAAGTTGCCCTTCCAACAGCTCCCAACAGAATAAGCCAACTGAAAACCTGGAAAAGGACATTTATATGTTCAAGGCACACAGTTCTTCTTGATAAATTTTTCTTCTTCCAATACAGTTCTTTTTTTTTGATGGACTTAGCTACTTGTTCTTTCCCAAGTCTTTACCCTTGGAAGTTGCAAAAGGAAACCAAGAAACCAGATGCTGCCTGATGCCTGTGTTCTTCTTTACATTCAAAGAACCCAGAAGGTTTTTCCTCCAAGACTTGGAAACAGGAATTGAGAGCTTGGGTAGGCCAGGGAGCTAATGGAAACACTGCACTTCTGAAGCAGGAAAGGAAGGAATGTGAGTTATTGCACCTCTGTGATACAAAAGGCAGCCTGCTAAGTTCCAGCTAGTGCAAGACTGTGATACACTCAGAAAACAAATACACCCTGGCTCGGTTATTGCTGATGAGCTGCAGGAACAGAGCTAATAGGCCTTTTCAACAGTAAAAAGAGCTTTTCCACTGAAAAGCAAGGCCAGAAATCCCACTCTCCCAGGAAGAGATGTAAGCATGTCCTCCTCGAGAGGCAGCAATGAAACCCAGAAGTCCTTTCAGGAGGATACCTGGCCAAGCCTCCCCAGGACTGAAGGGCAGCATGAGGTGCACCACAGCTGCTCCAGATGGCAGAGGGATCTCCCAGAGCCCCTGGGCTTCAGTGCTTGCTTCTGCTCACACACCCCCACATCTTTCACCAACACCTGCCTCACAACACACCTGTCGTTTATACCAACATGGCACAACACCTCATCTTTCCC